ATATATATATATATATATATATATATATATATATATATATATATATATATATATATATATACACCTTATTTTGCAAGATTTATCCAGTAGTCTTTTGTAGGGATCAGGAAAATAGATCATTGTATAATATTATGTGCATCTTACAGTTACAACTGAGTTTCTACTAGAACTAGAAGGAACTAGACTTAACAATATTAATAATTTATAATAATAATAATGATTAATTTATTATATATTTTACAATATATGATGGATTTAATATATGTTTTATGAATTTATTTTTTTACCTGATCTGGTGAAGAAGGAATTAAAATGGTGTTGTCAAGTTTGGAAAGAGACTGCTGGATGTTCAAGAGCATGTTTGAGTCCAGTAAACTGGTGGACCTGTGATCAGACCCAGAGTGAGAGTTAGAGAAAAAAAAAAAAAGACTCTATTTGACTCAATCACACATTCACACCCATACCTGGTAGTCTCTTTTTCACTAACAAATGTTGGCATGGCAGCGAGAGGACTGCAGAGGTTTTTACGGATGTAGATCTTTTCGATGGAGGGTGCGCAGTTTGCTGGCTTCTCTCTCGACACCTCCACCGGTTTCCTCTCACACTGAACAGCTGTTGGAGGAATTTCAGCAGGTGAAAATATTAAAGGGTTAGTTCATCCAAAAATGAAAATTAGCCCATAAATTACTCACCCTCAAGTTATCCTAGGTGTATATGACTTTCTTCTTTCAGACGAATCCAGTCGGAGTTATATTAAAAATGGTCTTTGATCTTTCAAGCTGTTTCATGGCACTCAGTGGGCGTTGCATGCATCAGTCCAAAAGCACTTAATTAAATTGGGCACATCCATAAAAAAAAAAAAAGTGTCTCACACGGCTCCGGGGGGTGAACAAAGGCCTTCTGTAGCGAATTGATGCGTTTTTGTAAGAAAAATATCCATATTCCAAACGTAATAATCACTTTAATGTAGCTTGCCCTCACTGTTGTACACTGGAAGCAGTTCTGGGGGAATGACGTATGAGGTCGGCGTTGCGCATGCACCGCTCAGAAGTGACGAATGCGGAAACGCAGGGGAGAGATCAAAACAAAACAACGGTCACTAATTAGAAGTACAAAATGAGGATTTGTAATGAAGAATGTCGGAGGATTTCGATATAAGCCAAGAGGAGCCTGGTTTTCCTTTGCTAAAGTAAGGAAACTTTGCTTCCTTTGCTCCTGTTAACAAACGTTGGTTTTCACGAGACTCACCGGCGCATGCGCAGCACTGACCTCATACGTCATCCTCCCGGAACTGCTTCCAGTGTACAACAGTGAGCGCAAGCTACATTAAAGTGATTATTATGTTTTGAATATGGATATTTTTCTTACAAAAACGCATCGATTCGCTACAGGAGGCCTTCGTTCACCCCCCGGAGCCATGTGAGAGACTTTTTTTATGGATGGGCGCTTTTTATTTAACTGCTTTTGGACTGATGCATGCAACACCCGCTGAGTGCCATAAAACAGCTTGAAAGATCAAAGACAATTTTTTATATAACTCCGACTGGATTTGTCTGAAAGAAGAAAGTCATATACTCCTAGGATAACTTGAGGGCGAGTAATTTATGGGCTAATTTTCATTTTTGGGTGAACTAACCCTTTAAGTCTGATCGCTTAGAAAAATGACAGCACACCCCTCCTCAAAATGCCACGTGATTTGAGTCATCAGTCATGAATCTGATTTGGACTCACAGTCTTGTTTCATGCCGAGGGTCATGCAGCGCTGCAGTCTGCAGTACTGACACCGGTTTCGATGGTGTTTGTTGATGACACATTCTCCAGACCCGCGGCACGTGTACACCAGATTCTTCCTGATGCTGCGCTTGAAGAAACCCTTACAGCCCTCACAGCTCACTGCTCCATAATGACGACCTGAACGAACACACACAATGACCAACAGTACAGAAGCATCTATTTACAAAAGTAACACAATTAATCAAATTCTGTTTGAGGTCTACAATTATTTAAAACACGACTATGTGTGTGTGTGTGTCATGTACCTGAGGCCTTGTCTCCACAAACTACACAATACTCCACTGGAGGCTTCGTAGAGCCCTGTTCTGAGCCCTCCGTCACAAACTGAAAAACAAAACATTCTAATCTAAATATGAACAATAATATAGAGTAAATTACAAAAGGAAATACTAATATATATATACAAGCACACAAGCAAGTACAGACTATCACAATACAAACTTCTAAGAGAGAACTACAATTATAGTAAGTCTTAACAAAAACAAAAATGAACCAAAAAGTAATGTGGCGGTACCATGGTACAGTGATACATAAGAAAAACAACACCACTGTGCTTTGATTGTATTGAATAATCTTTTTGTACCGTAGTATTTATATGGTTTTACTTCACACTGGAGACTCAACTTGCCATTGATTTCAATAGAGTTTGACATTAGCATGTTGCTAAGCTAACAGCGAAAGACTAATAAGCCTAAAAGACAAATAGCACACACACACGCAGAGTAAAACATTATTTAAATTACACCAAACCGTTTTAAAAACTCAATTCAATATGTCTTTATATAATTCAAATTTCTCTTGCTTCGTCTGCCATACTGGATTTTTTTTCATGGAACCACAACACAAGTAAAAGCCAAAGTATACTTTAGTTTTAATGTGCACATTTAGTTTGTGTCTACAGCTGAACGCATAGTCTTTGAACATATACTCCTTTTGATAGTGTGCGTGAACACAGGTGGTCAGAAGAAACTTTCATCTTGGTCCAGTGTCTGCGCTATTTCTCTATAGAAGTTATGACCGATAAAAATGTATTTGTACACTTTTAAATGAAAGTTGCAGTTGTCTATTGTTGTTGCAGTCTCCAGTAGTGGTAGTACTGTTCTGTTTATTTTTTGACTGAGAAACAATGGGCCAGTGTCGCCAACTTGTGGACCAACTAATTCAAGATGCATACATGAGCTGAGTGTAAACAGTATATGCATTTAGAAAAATCAGGCTGCATGTGTACAGTTGCTGATGACAAAATTTACGGTACACACTCACTGAATGCAAAGCGTAGCGTAAACACAAAAACACAAAGTGTACTTTGGGCTTAAACGAGTGGTGCCTGTTTACCTGGATTTGTTGTCCTGTCAGCTCAGGTGACGCAAAAAGCAGTTGATTGACAGCTGACCCATCGGCAGAAGTCAAGATGACCTTGGCTGGTGAGTTCTCCTGTTTGATGAACAGTTTCTCATGGTTGGGGTAATCCAGGTTAGCTAATATAAACTGCTGCTTGCCGGCTCCAGCCTGATCAATGGCTGTGACTATCTGCACCTTCTGAGCCAACTGCTGCTCCGTCACAATCTGATACAACACATGACAACAAAGAACCTAATGGCATTTACAATAATAAAGTTATTAAATGTCTGTATGCACCAACACAAGCGATGGCATGAAAATTCGGTCTGATTTTCATATACCATTTGTCTGTTCAGATCAATACACACACACACACACACACACACACACACACACAAAACGGCTGAAAAGCTGAATGAAAATGCAAATTCGCTCTCTCACAGTAGGTGGGACTTATGGAAAAAAGCAGAAACACAAGAGGTACACAGTGGTGCACAGCTTTCCGGTTCTGACACCCACTTGTCACAGAAAAGTAATCGCAAATCTTATTGGTTGGCCAGCTTTTTTCGCAGTGTGATGGAAAAGATATTAAAACACCCCTCTGTAAAAACAAATGTTGTACTGTTGAAATGCAAAAGTTCACCCGAATAGAAGCATTAACATTCAGTCTAAGTCACCTGCAGGCCCCCATCTGCAGACACCAGCTGAATTCTGGGACTTTCTCCTTCCATGATACCCTTCTGTCAGAACCAAGGCTCAGCAACGCCCCATCAGTCACACGCCCACCTGAGAAAAATAACACACAGCTCAGAGACTCTCGAAGATCCACACCAAACATTTGCAATAAGACCTTGTATAAGTCAGGGGGAAACTAGGGCTGGACAATAATTCAATATCAATATGTATCGCGATATCATTTTTTTCAATAACGGTGATATGATTTTTAAATACATTTCCGATATTTCGATATACATTACCAGTGTTTCCCATACATTGATTTATTTGTGGTGTTTGACTTTGTTGAATAAACATGAGCACTGCACGTTTCAAAATCAAAACGCGTCGCGGGTGTTTTATATGAATGTATCTCTGAAGGGAACCGACTGTCTTCAGAATAGTTTAGATGGCATTTTTATCTGATAAAGTAGCGTTCATGAGCGGAGCTGCTTTGTTTACAGCCTTATATATATGTATTGTTCTTAAATAACCAAAAAAGCTCTTACGGTTAGTTTAATCGCAGACATTCGCCTGTACTGATCGATATTTTCTATTTTGCTAGCGGCTAATACGCTAACGCGTGTTAGCAAGCCGGCTATCAACAGTGCTAATATTCTCCTGAATGATTTATCCTAAACAATTACTGCAAACACAGTGGGCTTTAACAATACAGAATATAGTTATTCTTACCCTGAACGCGTGAGAAATTATCCAAATACTGTGATGTTTTGATAAATTCGCGTAAACTGACGGCTCACTGCAGCTACAGGAGGTCAGAGTTCGCGACCCGCTCAAAGCAGTCCCGCACGTCTGCGCATGCGCAAATGCACTCGTGAGACAGCATTGCTTTTAGTGAAGGTTGAGTGCTGCTAGTGGATTTTACGACGTTAGCCAGTATGATTAACTAGAATGCCTTTTCTTTTATAGGACTGTTCTAGGAAGCCAAAATGATACATTAAAGGATTTGGATGCATGTTTGGCAATAACCGTCCCAGTCCAGCTGATTGTTCAGATTTCTTGCTTTGACTAATGTTAACAAGCACAACTTTTGATTTGATTAATTCATTAATAAATGTTCAAATGAACATTGACTATTTTACTAAGATTAATAAGGGCTGTAGAATAATTGTTCATTCTTCGAGTTAAAAATATATCTTAGCTCTTTATCTTTCGATGATAATAATCAGTGTTGGGGGTAACACATTACAAGTAACGCGAGTTACGTAATCGGATTACTTTTTTCAAGTAACTAGTAAAGTAACGCATTATTTTTAATTTACAAGAGAATATCTGAGTTACTTTTTCGAATAACTATCTATAAAGCAATGTCTTTGCTTCTGACCATCGATGATCCAGTTCAACCATACTAATAAGCATAAATTACTCTAGACAAACATTTGTGTGTCTTTTTTAAAAATGTCTTCTTCTGCATTCTACTGTACGGATGTAAATTTACTTTCCCTTCAGCCTGAGGCTTATTCATTTCACTTCTGGTGTGAAAAGGCTTTTATATTTGCCAAAAATATAACTTTTTTATTTTAAAAACAAACAAGCAAGCCCTGTCCAGATGTAAAAAGTAATGTAATGCATTACTTTCCATAAAAAGTAACTAAGTAACGTAATTAGTTACTTTTTTATGGAGTAACGCAATATTGTAATGCATTACTTTTAAAAGTAACTTTCCCCAACACTGATAATAATAATAATCAAACACTTAGTTCACACTAATTAACCTTGTTGTAAAGTGTTACCGATTTCTTTCATGTTAGCTGTAAAATCTACAGTGCCACCAGATCTTGTAATGGATAATGCAGTTTGCCATCAGCCGCTTTCTAGTTATTGGTACTGGCCAAGAACCCGTATCATTTGATCTAACTAACTGTATGGAATCAATAGGAATGTGAACTGTACTTTTAATATTTATATTCAGCAAATATACACCCCCCCCCCCCCCCCCCACCCCACCCCCTTTATTTTCCATTTCCCCTGTATGAACAAATTCATAATTGTGATGTAATGACAAAAAGCAAGCATGACAATAAAGCCAGACCAGTCCGTTGGAGATTGTAAGGCACTGGAGTGACAGCACTGTTGTTGAACAAAAAGCTTTTTCTGGCTATTCAGGAAAGGCCTGAGTGTTGCAAAAAGAAATACATGTAACCTGTGAAGTGGAATAGATAGGTTATAGTGCGTGTAACCTTTGTGAAATCAACATGCAATATTTTGCAATATTTTGATTTGACAAAGTTAATCACAAACAGAATTAAAAGTCATTCTGACTCACGATCAAAATTTGAACCTTATCTGTTTTTTTCAGGGCTGCAGATTTACAGCAGACCTACAGGACAAAAATGAATGATCCAAAGACAGATGCAGCCATATGGTGCCTGAAAACTAGTCA